TACGAAAAAAGACATTTGAATCACAAAAAGGATAGATCAGAAAAATCTATCCTAGTAGTTATGTGAGAATGTGTGGTAGTGAGAATTACAGAATAGACGGATATTTAGAAGTCATACATGTCTTTATATGAAATAAGTTGTCACTATTAGGCTATTGTTTACAAAAGTAATTCGTTGATTGGACGACTGCAGTGCACACAAACCACTTTCAAAGTATTCGGGATCATCTTAGAAACCCCTTAAGACCTTTTTATGGGATCACAGTGGGAAATGATAGTCTACTATGAACTAGTGGCAACGCATGATATGTTATGGTTTCAAAGACCATAAACCTATTTAATATCTACATATCTTCAGTTTTCAAGCAAAGCAGATGAGTAAATTGTAAAAATTTACCATTTTCTTTAAGGGTCAATTGTCCTTCATATTCTTGATGCTGATTGGTCAGTACACAAACGGAAGTGATTGGTCACTATTAAAGAATAGTTATATCGATCAGGTGACCTTATTTACTCTACATTCACATGACCATAAACATTATTAAACTTGGAGAAAGTTTCTCTTCCATTAACGCTACCAACCTTAGTTTTTCTAGATTTTACGTAGAAATGGACACCGAGGGTAAGTGCCTGGTTTTAGTTATTACTTCGTATGGCTCAGTTTTCAGACCTGCTACATTGGCCAATGTGTGTTGTCCGAGGTCACGTGAAAATGATGTAACAAGGAACCTACCACAACATTGTAGTCAAGGTTATGCACGTGATGGCAGTCACATGAACTTTTTTCCGACAAACTTGTTTACATGACTTTGTGCGTTAAATCAAGTTCATTGGTGGGTTGAAATTGAAATTCGTCAACGGAATTGGTTAATCCGTATGTAAACCCACCCTACAACTTTTTCTAGGTCAGTTGTCCACGTCGGAGGAATAGGACGAATCACAATGGCACAATTATAAATAAGTCACATTGAAGTGGAGTAGTTTGTGGAATAGAACAGTGTATCATTTATTTGACAGGGCAGCAAGAAAAGTTAGATATCTGGAGTGTACATGGTCAAAGTGGTATCACATTGTAAGACAATTTTTAGTGATATGCGTTAACGGTACGTAGATAGTGAAGTGGATTAATTTCTATTGATGGTTGTTAAGGAATACTTTTCAATCTCACTTTTACAAGAGTTGTAAAGTATACGCAATTTCGAAAGTATGATTACGTATAAGCTCATTTTTCCGTTTTGGATCGAGTATACTCGCTTCGAATGCAGGTATGTGTACCTGCATATCTCATTCAACATTCTCCCCAGCTGGTGATCACTTTGGGTGCAAGAAACAGTAGAAAAACTTTGAACTTACTGCAGACAATGCAGTTGTAGTATACGAGATTTGTAACCGTTTATTCACTCTCTGAAGGCTGTAATCTTGCGAAATGTAATTTACTTTGGCGATGTACCCAAGAGTTATAAACTGCACCCGAAGTTGATTTCGGGAATTACCCAAAATTGTCAAAGTGCACCCAAAGTGTTTGCGGCTGGGTAGCGGGAAAACGTAGGGCCGTTTTTCAAACACGTTCAAATGGTTGTTGACAGAATAGGAGTTTTCGCGTAACTGTCTTCCGCGTCTACAATCCGTGGATTACTACTCGTTGCGGTTGTTAACATGTGTGCAAGGAAAGAAAGGTGAAAAAGTGGCGATTAAATTGTGAAAATTCACTTAGTTCTGGGCAGATCCCATACACATATCAAGTGGGTATCCAGTCGGCGTTTAAAAGATTCAGACGAAGTAGCCTAGATCAAATCTTCAGGGGGAGCGTTCCAGGGTTTAACAACTCTTAGGGAATAGAAGTTGTGCGTAACATCAAGTCTGCTATGTTCCAGGCTTAGTTTCTGTGCAACCTCTAAGATTAGCGCTGCAGCTGAGATTTAATAAGTGTTTCAGTAGTCGGTAATTGATCGACACCTCCCTGGAGTTACGAATGCAGTTAAACAGCTACTACTAAAGGAACTCAATTCACATTAATTCGTCTTCTTGGTACGACTGACGACGATCGGTCACAGAAAATTCATGAAGTACGTATCGGAAAGTCGCCATATCGCTTTTAAGGATTGGTATTACTTTGAGTAAACTCGTTCGTAGCACACAGGTCATGACATCAGTTGTAACGGCAGTGCACTGCATTTTGAACACATATTTATCGGTAAAAATATACTTATTCTGAAGGTTAGAATAAAATCTTCCCGAAAATCTATGGATGAGTATCAGTAAAGAAACAATGCTTTGTCAGGGTGTAGTGTAAACTATCATATGCCGGGCTATCTATCGAATGTAAAGTTAAAGTAGCCAGAATGCAGATTTCTGAAAGTGCTGGGTTCCCATGAACTGTAGTTGTTGGCCTAGATTGGAACAATATTACCAATGCTTCAACATTTATAGTTATTTGTAGAACCTATATAATATACTACAGGAATTCAGTCAGTAATTATTGCTTTTATTATTGTTGGTTGGAAGTGACAGTCGATTGACTAAATGTATGCCAGTTAGTTTTTTAGAATTACTTTAGTTTTTAATCTGTGGCTTTATTATGGAATCTGGTCTTGTAATGAATATACGTAAAGGCGTACAGTTAATGAATGATCACGATTGGACGATAATCTTATAAGAGGTTTCAACAAGTCTTAGGTTTCGCTCAGTTACAAGCATATACAGAGAACAAACGTAATGGTACAAATTTTATACAGATGAGAACAGAGAACATTTGAGAGGTGTCAGAAATTTCAACCGTGGATAAACTGCGTCGCATGTTCCCGTAACAACTTATAATCAAGTATATATCACGTTATAAGCAGCCAAAATCAACGCAGAAGCTCGCTCAGTAGTACACCGGTTCATGATGCAACACTTCACAGTTGCATGCAAAGAAGAGATAGATAGAAAACGACTGATATCCAAGTTGAAAAAGGTGCGTGGGAGAAATTTGAAAATGAAAGTTAGTGAAAATAATCGAACTTTGTAAGACTTCAAAGAGTGAATACATTTCCGCCATTGTGGCCGATTTTCAGCCATATCAGCAAGAGTATGTAGCTGTTGATTCATACGGCCTCCTGCACCCCAGACAGGTAGTTCACACCTCCCTACTGGGCTAAGACTAACAGTCAGAGATGTCATGAAGTGTTCTGACAACCCTGAGCCTTCCTTCAACCTAATTCAGCTTTTAGGATTAGACATAAAGGTAAACCGTTGCTCGGCACGCGCAACACATGTCTAAGTCACCTCAGTTGCTGAAGCTTAATAGCTTCATCGACCGACTTACCTAGTACCCTTCGTTTAACCTGGGAACTTGCACGGTGATTCCACCGCACACAAGCAGTGTTACGAAGACACCTGTGGTCTTTTAACGCCTACCTTCAGCTTCTGTCTCATAGCCGCATAAAGAGATAGCGAACTTGAACTGCAATATACTCGTCCTTAAAAAGAGCCCGACATCTCCCCAGTCGGCGCCAGAAATAAAGCAAGTTGGCAAATGCCAGAAGAGGCCTTCTGCTATGCTAATCTGGAAGCATTAACAGGAGAGTTATCTCATTTGACTGCGAGGAGAACGTTTTTAGTAACAGGTATAATTACATGAGAAACAGTCTGACTATTCGGTTTCACCCCTCATTTATTAACTCTTAAGTCACGTAAGTAAACAAGTAAACATTATCACTCCACTATAGGGTGTTTAAAAATCTGAATTTAGGGCAAAATGTGTGAATCAGTTAATTGTAAACATGCACGAATATAATTGTTAAGTATGGATGTTTTATTCTTCAGTTTCTGTGTGAGGTATTTCAGCCTAAGGTAGTCTTGTTCAATCAGTCTCAAACACTAGATCTTCAGTTTATATTCAGTAGGTTTATTTAGTACAACTACAATGAAGTATTATATACTGATAACTCTTCGGAGCATAATTTGTCGTCCATAATCGTATCAAAGTGATCACATAAACTTCTGACTTGCATGTAGCTTTACTTCTTTCCGTTTTTAAGTTTTAATTTTCCATGTATACAGAAACAGTGTTAACTTATTCCTATTCCATAGAACTGTAACTTTTCGTACCCTATTGTGTGGTTGTGTTTTCATGCATGCATAGCAATGGTGTTTTTTCCTAGATCAACTATTTAAATGGATCTGTCATTCTAAATTTAGCTAATTTCCTATGCTCTGACCATTTGGCTATCAGATTAAAATCAAAGAATGAAAAGTAACAGAACTGTATGCATCTAGCCAAAATGGTCTGCTAACAGTGACATGATTATGAGTAGTAGGTTCGGTCCGAAATGTCATCCACTAAGTAGTACTCCAAGCCATACCAGGTAAACTTGTTTGATATTGAATTATACTCTAACGAAGTACCGATATTTTAGTCTTACATTTTTCAAGTTTTTAAGCCACTTTCCTAACCACAGTGAATCTGATTAGCGTACTTGCTCAAATCTTAGCATGGATAATAATTCACTACTTGACTGGATCCGGTAAATTGATCTGAGAATTGTTCAGGTTCAGTAGAGACCGTTTGGAAATGGGGTTTATTGGATCAAACATTCTACAATCAAACGATATCGGTTTCAAAATTCACTCCACATATTTAATTTAGATATTCAGGTGGCGTCAAAGGTTCTCAGAGTGTATGTACCACTTATAGCGTGGTAAAATGTGTACTGTTTTGAATTTCATTATCATTACTGACTAAGGGCGGTACACTTAGATTCTGGTACGTACGAGTTATTATAATAACACATTCGTTGGTTTTAAAGTGGGTTTTACTGCGCTTAACGAAGAAACCATAAAACAGTATTTCAAGACAACAGGTGTGGCTGATTGCGTACTACGAAAATGTGCACAAGGGGAAAATTTTTTGTGTGAACATGTAATGACTGTACTTTACCTTGGTCAATGTAATCATCGTAAACGTTTACATAACTTATCATAGTGTACGTTCATTTTTCTCACAAAGGGTGAAATAAAATGGCTTTATCTAAAACATTTCCTGAATGGGTGGAGGTGATCCATAATAAACGCAATTCTGCTGCTGAATCTGTTTCAACATTCCACTTTCTTAAATCAAGGATAAGGCATCTTTCCGGATCAGATACTTTCCCAGAAAACAGTGTTGAATTCGGACATGGAGGAGTACTTTACTGGATGTCGCGTGATCATAGGGTTCAAGGTATTGCAAATTAAAACGACTATTTAACTCCACTAACAGTTTAAGTATTTATGTTTCAAATAGCTAATATTTGTCTTTTTTGGTTAAATTGCGTTGCTTTAGGTGGGTGTACATGGTTCCGTGTAGATTCATCTTAAATGATTAGTGTTCCAGTTTTTAAAAATAATTTTTTATTGTGCAGGTTACAACCGTGAAACAGCTATGATAATTAGCCCATCTGTGAAAATTATTTTTTCAAAGTGAAACTAAATAGTGAGATTCAGTTTTTGTCATTTTTTGAGGACTCACTGTGGGTTTTCACTATTGTTTTCCACTTACCTAGTAGTATCTTTTTCGTAACTCTTCAAAATTCTTTATTTATTCGACGAATGGTATCAAGTAGTTACACTATAGCAAGAGACAACTAGTAAGTAATGTGTTGGAACCTCTCTCCACTTATCAAGGTTCAGGCAGTCAAATAGTATATTTAGCCGTCATACAGTGAGTGTAGCTCATTGCACAATACATTAAGATGTATATCGAGGCGATAAACACGCTTTACTATAAGGTGGATACTCGTCATCATCAATATCAACATAGAATAGGCGGATACTTCATATGCAAGTATAATAGGACAGACAAGAACCTGAGATGACACGTAAATAATATGACTTTTCTTTATCATACAAGCAGTGTTTTAAAAACCGAACATAGATAGATCACTATTGCAGTGGTGAAGTCTGTTTATTTCAACGACTGCGTTGATACAAACTAACTTGAAGGGTTTTTTTCAAGATGCAAGTTTGTCTAGATGGATAGTGGCAACAAAGAGAGCATCTACTATCCCAGCGTAAATAATATTTACATTCTCAAGTGGAGTTTAAGGATACAGTTATAGCCCAGACTAGACAGATGTTGGGTAAGGTTTATCTCTTTGAGACACAAATGTTGGTATTATGTTCATTCATTCTTAGACAGGGAAGCCGTAACACGTCGACCTTCTAAAGCATATCACTCGTTTTTTTATTCAGAACTGTGACTCAGTGATTTAGGGAGATGGCTGTCAACCATTGGGTCATAGATTCGAGCTCCGCTCCACATACCGAGGTTTGGACACCCAGCTAGTATCACTAGCCCTCACATACTAAGTGTAGCTCATTGCCTGCTGCATGGATGTGCACAGGGTGGCTGACTGCATTTCGATTTTGTTCATATAGTTCTTCATTGGTGGTAGTAAGATTTATTGAGGGGCGTACAAGACACTCGTTGCACAAAAAGCGATAAATGACTAGCACAGGGTTAATATTCCCTGCAATCTGTAGTCACACGATGCTAGAGTATCCACTTCTAGCTGGAAACAAAAATTATTAACTCTCCTGCATTCTTATTCGATTTTCCCTTCTCATCCTTGGCAGAGACTATAAGTTCTCGACTAGATGGTTCTACTTTCCAAGGAGGAACAAGCTCAACACGTCTTCGGGCGTTTGGTGGCACTTGGTGGTGTGGTTTTCAATACTTTATTAATTTGACTGTTTTGTATTGAATGAAATACTCTTTTAATTTCAGATAATTGGGCCTTTTTGTATGCACAACGTTTAGCACTCAAATTCGAAGTTCCACTGCAAGTATGTTTTTGTTTGGTACCTGCTTACCAAGCTGATACTCTGAGGCATTTTAAGTTTATGATTGGTGGACTAGCTGAAGTAGAGAAGGTAATATTTTAAAATTCTATTCCATTGTTAACTTCACATACTTTATTTAATATTCCATTGTGGTGAATTGCTCATCAACAGTCATTCGCTGTGTTATACTAACGCTTTTTATCAACAGCTGTGCGCATAGATCCTTATTTTTCAAAAGCTAGTCACTCAAACAATACGGTCAATAAGTATCAGTCTAATTTACCTGACTTTATATCCGGTCACTCGCATGAAGTCATTAATTTCCAACACCACAGTCTTTGATAGCGATTATGTTTTACAGAATAGTATCACAGGTCTTTTGAAACTGCGCTGCAAACTACACATCGAAGTTTTCGATGTCCACAGCCTACATTGGATCGGAAAATGAGCTTTGCCAACCAAAACTTTGGCATTTCCAACCACAGACGTGTATTGTGTTTGTGAAAAATGCATACCGTATCCAAGTGCTGTTAACCACTTAACCCGACCAAGATGGTGAATCTGAAAAATTCACTCTTCAAACTTTTGAAGATTCGATTTCTAGTCCCAGTTTTCTTGCAGGTGTTGGTATAGCATTAGGTGCTAAGGCCGAAATTGCACTTCTCGACTGTGTCCCATTTGACAGTCTCCTGTTCACTGGACAGCTGATTGATGCAGTGAGGACTAAGAAGAATTCTGAATCTCTTAGTATACTCTGCTTACGCACCCACTCCCTGCCATTCGAATGAAGTAAAGGATAACTTCTACAGAAAACTATGTAGCCTCCACATTGAAGCCAAACGTTTAGATGTGGTTTTCACAACAGGGGATTTCTATACATAAGGCTATATCAGGCAGAGAGATACATTTGTAATCTCTGTCGAATAAAAGAATGACGGTGATCACCTGCTACAGCTTTGCTCAGATAACCACCTACTTTTCAGCGCGAACTTCAGAAATAAGTGGAGATTATCTGACGTGACGCCCTCTGACCTCAACTCAACAGTGGACACAAATCATATTGCTGTCAGTGGTAGCTGGATAGAGTCGGTGGGAGATTGGTTCGAGCATGGGTGTCTGCACATAAGTGGACGTCGGAAATCTACAGCAGCAAAACCATCCTAAGCTCAACTTAGTTATGAGAAACCTGAGGCTCCTTTCAGAAAAAGACTGGCTATACGGTTATTGGCAGACATAAACTTCACTCATCGTGAAAAGCGCGTGCTGTATCTATTCTGCTGTAAAACAGGCTTAAGCAACATAAGCTGCTGTGAAAAAGTAATTAGAAAGAGTCAAGGGACCTCAACAACATCTTCAGAAACAGTGGTTGTACTTGAACGCATTCCTACAGGTTCTGAGCACAATGAGGAGGGAGAGCAACTTAAATATAGATTAACAGAATCTACGCAAGACCAGAAGCAGCAGTGGGAAGCGAAAGTTAAAGAGATGGAGAAGGTCCCGGTAAGGAGTAACAGTCGACAGCTATTTAGACTTATCAAGGAAACTGGGACAAAACATTAACGTATCGTGAGACCTTAGCGGAAAAGCATGGATCTGCAGTTCGCTCACAGCGGACGCGACTGAAATGATGAGTGTAACACCTTTTTGAGCAGTTCATATGGTCTCCAGCTATTTTTACTTACTTGCCTTAGAGTCATGTCCTAAATGAAACATAGGGATGAGACCTCCAATTGTTGCCGAATATGAGAAGGCTGTAAATAATCTGGAACCAGAAAAGATAGCAGGCCCGCAAAGGCTAATACCGAAGGTGTTGAAGAATGGCTGCCGAAAGCTATTACCTAGATTCATTAAAATGTTAGCTAGCATATGGAAGTCAGATATCATGTCCTTTCACTGGTCTCAATCTCTCTTTGTTATACTCTTCGAGAAGGGAAAGAATTCCTCCTGTGATAACCACAGGGGAGTCAGTTTGTGTCTACGACTCCAAGTGAAGCTCGGGACCAGCGAACCTGAAGAAATCCGGCGGGTTTCAGGCTTTTGTCTCAGTGTATCAGCCGGTTCTTCACCTTTCACCAGGTTTTAGAACACGGATGTATCGGTGCCTTATACTAGCTGTATTTCTAGGTCTTGAAAGGGGATCTCTCTTCTCGTCTGACTCACCAGGGATTGAGCTTACTGGGGATTCGCAAGTCGACCTAGAGTAAGCAGATGACATAACCGTGTCAAGTAAAGGTGTTGAAAATGTGCAGAATCTCTTGGATGCCTTGAGTAGCAATTTAAGGATGAATTTTCATCACCAAATTGCGAGCTGTTGCCTCGGAAATGGCGTGCGTTGGTGCCTTATTGAGTGGTTGGGGGTGAATTTGTTGAGATTTTTGACCACTTCACTTACATTAGAAGTTAGATCAGCGCTGATAGGTTAGGGACTAACGAAATCTGCGCGAATGCAAAAGGCTCACTTGGCCAACCTACACCACAGGCGCTGGTTTGTTATCTGGCCGCTTACTTAGGGCGGAGTAGACTGTGCAGAGGTTGGCTCTGTTCTATATGGCTGTGAAACATGGCCATAGTAGAAGACATAAAAAGGCTCGAGGTGCTTGACCACTATTGCCTTTTCAGAGTAGGCCATGTGTTGTGGTGTCACCACTTGAGTAACATAGAGTTTTAGGCAAAAGAGGTAAGTCAGTTCGCAGGGCATGTGTTACGCATGCCTGATCACTGCCTGCCACGTTGCACAACGTTGGCTAATGAAGGTTTAGGCTGGGAAGAGGTTCGGGGTTGGCAGACTAAAAAATGGCATTGGTGCATGAATTCTCTGACTATTGGTCTAAACCATGTAGAGAGATGCAGGCTTCCCTATCGAGGTCCGCCTGTCAACAGAAACTAGTGGGTTTGGACTGTGGGTGATATAGCTCAGAATGGATCTCAGGGAAAAAAATGGATCCATATATCGCCTTCATTTTAGTCGTTATATCCCTTCACTCTATTGTTTTGTCCCTTCTGGGTATTTTTGCGACTTCCTTCTACTCTTGACAGCTTTCCCCCGTATATTTTTACCTTTTCTCATTGTGTCTTCTACCTTAATGTACTAGTGTGACGACTGGAACGGTTACTCAATAATGCCAGGTCTCATGTTGATGCTAACTGAGTTACAGTAGGGTTAGTAAATTCCGGATCTAAACCCCACTTTAGCATAGAATACTATAATACGGCAAGTTCTAAAGCATATCAATCACTTTCTAATTCACAATTAATATTCGTCTTTCAGATAGATATTCCTTGACTGAAATGATTTAAAGAAGTAGTTTGACACACAATAGTTAGTCAAGAAATGCTGAAAAGTAGATCTTCTGGAGATCCTCAATAACGGCACAGAGTTAGATCTGTGATATAATCGTTCTTAAGTTCGCCTTATATTAATGAGCACTGTGAATACAAAAAGTGGTTTCGGGACACTGTCTCAGTTATACCCAGCTATTTAGTCTACAGATGTCATCTTTCAAAACTTGTCTTTTCGGACAGCGTATATCTATGATTATGTATCCGAAGCAAAACTTGTTAATACGGACTCACTCATCTCTTTGTAAATTGACATTTTTCTGACCGCAATCAAGATTTAAGATACTAGTAAGTGCCAATTCGAAATATTTTGGGGAATTTTAATCCCTCTAGGTAAATAAATATTATGTAGAAGTGTGCATGAGCACCATTTGCACATATCAAGTAAACTGACAAAGTTAGCTTGTGTTTTAAAAAGAAAGTGCCAGAGAATAACTGATTATGAAGACTAAAATTTTCTGTGTAAACCCATCAACAAAACTGTGTTGTGCTAAATGATACTCTTTCATTTGGATGAGTTGGTAAAGTTGAGTTATAGTATATCCCGAGACTAGCTCTTTTTATAGCTTGAATCAACGAATTCTTAGCAGTTCTAATTAAAATTATGAAAAAACTCTTAAATTAATCTTGCAGTATTGATGATACCAACTCTGGTACACAGATTGTATGTAGGTGTATGGATTTATTCCCAAATTTCAGTCAGAGAAAAGTAATTACGTCTCACTTCTTTTTGAACAGCTCTATAGATTTTAGACCACCAGAATTCAGTCTCATAAGTGCTTTATAGAGATATGCCAGAAGTCAGTCAGTCGAAGTAAGCACATAGTCTGTCATCACTGCTTAACTCTCCCATCTGCCACACTTCATATCAAGATATAAGGCAACAAGATAAAAAATGTAATTCAGTCATAGGAGTTTTATCAAAGGGATTATAAGAGGATAAGTGCAACAATGAAATTCAACTCGATGTGAGGACAGGCTGTACAAATCAGTGTACTGCTAACATCATGAAGTTAATATTTAGAAAAAAGTGTAAGTCACGTCTGTTGTTTTACGATAGATAGACTACCGTTTCACAGTGTACTCAGCACGTGATCAGCCACATGAGGTGTAATTTACCAAATACTAAATGGGACGTCGTTGTATCCGCTTTAAAATTCGTTAAATATCAAGGAGGATGCCACTACTGGAGTATGTAAAATGGTCAGGTTTCTTAACCCACTCCTCCTCGAATGTCGATGTTGACTAGTACAGTTTGTAGTTAAAAGATGAAAGATACCTAAACACTCATCATTTCTCAAAGTGTTAGGTGAACTGTATTTCCATAGTTTATTCACTTGATTGGAATGTACTGTCTTAGTCTCTTCGGAAAATTAAATCACGTTCTACTGATTGGTTTATTAAAGTATGACCTCTCAGAATATATTCTTGACAAAGTTAGTTAGTCGAGAGTAGACACAGTGGATATGCTTGATAAACGTTACTTATTGTATCCATCTTACGGGGTAACTTGTCGTTAACTCTGACGAGTGTGTACGAGCGAGGAAGATGCAGTAGTATAATGTGGTTCATCAGACATTCTTCTCAGTGAGAAGTAGTCAAGAGAATTTCAATGGATAGAGCTGCACGTCTTTTTTGATCAAGAAATATTATTGTCAGGAAGTGTACGCATGATTTGGTTTCGAAACCCGTTTTAGGTGAAAATCCGATAGATACGTACCTAAAAAACATCTAGTTTGAGAAATATCGTCCCAAAGCTTCAGTTGAGTATCATGCTATTACGGATATTTTAAAGTTCATTAGCATGTTGATTTCAATGTGACTATCAGACCAGAATTTGTACACTTTTTGTCCACTGGAACGGCCAATATCTGTCAGAGAAAGAATTATAATTTCATGATGTTGTGTTCTGCGAACTAGATGGTTTAATTGTGAAGCCTTCATTGTCGTTTTAAACAACATCAGCACGAATTTCTGCCACAAATATTATCCATCATCTCAAAGAATTATATTTTACTCCTTCTATTCAGTTAGTGCTTCAATCAAACTAATGATTTTCTGTCACGCTTTTAAAATGCTTTTCGAAGTGGCGCATCAGAACCTATCTCCCTTTTTATCATTCTGTATTAGTTGCAATCAGTCTTAGCTACACAAAACTTGCAGAGCTAATATCAATGACTTTATTCAAAGTGCAAACGGAAGATACGTAACTCAGAGACTTAAATATCAGTCAAGCTGTTTTTTAAAGTTTTAATTCCATCGTTTAATTAGCCTCCCTTGACTAACTCATGCTTCTCAGATATATTGCCACTAATCTGTAATAAATCTAAGTGTTTATATGCCCTCTTTACTACGAGTTACAGATAAAAAATATGTACACACGACTCAAATCAGAATAACTAATAGGGGGAGTTTTGATTTGTTATCCATTGGTTGTTAGTTGATTCCGTACAACGTTGAGTATTCTAAATAAAAACTGGAGCTAAGAATAAGCTTAGCTGCACAGTGTTCGCATGAAACTTTGACACTGCTTCGCTCCCATACTCAAATTTCAATCAGTCGAACTTTGTACACCCCCCCTCCTCATATTATGGTTTAGAAAGCCAGGGTCTGTCGTCAATCCTTACACATTATATAAGGCTCATAGACTAAAATGCGATTTCATACATCGTTACTGAGTTACGTTGCGTGTTCATGTGAATCTTCAGATTCATATTACTGAAATGTAAACGAAAATTCTTCAATCTCTGTTTAGGATTTGAATTCCTTTTCCCGCAAATTCTGCTGTTGTGGGTAGTGCATACTTTTACAAGAACGTGATAAATTTTTGATTTATTTCTACACCTGGAAGCATAACAACCGAATAGTTATCCATTTTAGTCTGTCTATTTGAAATGTCACACAGTGAAACAGTATCATTTACTGGATAACGTTTCGAACATAATTTATTGCCCATATTCGTATCAGGTAACTCAACAACTTGGAGACAGAATTTATATAGTCTTAATTTTCTCTCCTTCTTTGTGACAAGGGTATTAGAATTTGCCATATATCTGGGATAGGTGCAATTACACACAATCACATAGTAGGATAGGATAGAGGGATAGTATTAAAAACTTAGTTGGATGCAGGGAGAGATTGATAACCGAATGCTTGTTTACCGAATTAACACCATATACATGCAATAGGAATGATTCTGCACCTGTTCCGGATATATGGAGAATTCTACTACCCTTGTCTTAAAGAAGGAGAGGAAATGAGGACTGTATAAATTCTGTCTCAAGGTTATGGAGTTACCTGATATGAATATGGACAACAAATTATGTTCGCAACGTTATCCAGTAAATGATAGTTTCACTGTGTGACATTTTGAAGTTTTACTCCTATATTAACGAATAGGTTTCCTGTTTTATCGCTACTTTCCGATAAGCAGTTTGTTAACGTGGTACGCATTACTGAAAAAAATTGTTGCAGACTGAAGTACTACTATTTTACAATAAGCCACTGAACTTTTCAAACGTTTAATTAAGGAACTAATATTTAAATTGATCTAGAAAATACTCAGGAATCATAAGTAGTCTTATCGTCTACCTACAAATACTCTCTTAGTCATATCTCAATGTATTGCCGCTATACAGGGGACATATTAGAGACTGAATGACTTTGAAGTAAACATGTGAGCCAATAAGCTTGGAGGCAATGTGGGTAATTGTTATTGGTAAGTTTATCGATTAAAAATTAAAAAGACTAATAAAGAATTCAATGTCTTTATAGTGTTTCTGTATAATAAAGAAAGGAAACCAGAAGACCCACATAGGATTCCTAGTGATGCACTTAAACCTACAAATTCACTTACATACCAAATTTCTTAGTTCAGTGATTCGATTGATGCAGTTGGGCAAATAACCTTTATTTGCCTTGTAGTGACTGTGATGTTAAGTGAAATCCATCGACCGGGTTCAATCAGGCTGGCAGAAAATAGGGATCTAGCTAAGATTTAATGGATAAACCCTATTGATTAGAAGAATTTAGCCGTTGCTGTGCATGCGACAGCATACAACCGTACAATAGATTTGAACAGGGTAACAGTCATAAAGACTAATGTAGTTAAGTTGAAATAAAGGTTGGTCACTGAATCTCTGTTCATCGATTCAGGAGTGGATATTGTCCCCGTGGGTGAAGACGCTGATAAAATGCCGGGTCTTCTGAACGCGTTGAGCAGAAACCTAAGTATATTTGGAATGGTTTTCACTGGCACCTGTCAAATGTAAGATGGTGCTCCAGGACTGGTTTGTTGCAAGTACTCCCAGTTTATTGATAGGGATTGAAGTGGTGGAATGTATAGACCACTTCACTTAATTGCGGAGTTGAACCTGCCCTAACGGGCTGGTTGATGACGCAATCTCAGCTCGGATACAGAACCCCCATTTAACATTTGCAACCTGCGTCATCTGTGGCACCGACTCGTGAGACACCTGACTATCTGTCAAACGACGAGTATGTTGTGCTGCAGTCCGTTCTGTCCCGTTGTACGGCTGTGAGACATGGCCGTGAAAGTGGAAGACATGAAGCCATTACTAGGTTTTGATCATAAATGTCTTCATAGCATTGGTCGCGTTTAGTGAAACCATCGTGTGAGCAATGCTAAGATCAGGTGAAGGGTACTAGGAAAGATAGGTAAGTTGATTGAGGAGGTTGTAAAGCTTAGTCGACTGAGATAGCTTGTACATGTACTGTGCATTCCGAGCCGCCGCCTACCTCAACGTGCCATGTTGGGGGGGGGGGGGGGAGCTAAATTAGGTTGGCAGGGGGTTAAGGGTGGTCAGACCAAGATCTGGCACCAGTCGATGAAGTCCCTTACTGTTAATCTCAGTCGTATGGTGAGATTAGATTGATTAGTTGAAGTCCTCAGGACGAAAGGAATCAGTGGTTGAGGACTCTTGGTGACATGGCAAGAAATCGGTCGCAACGGCGCAGATGTATTCATTCCTTGACGTCTTCTGAAGCTTTAATATTCTCACTAACCTTTATCTTCAAATTCTTTCCTCTCTCAGATTACTTTAACTGCTTTGGTATCACTCTGTTATTCACCTGTTCTCTGTATACTACTGTAAAGTGTGGCAGCTTGAGACGATGCACCCGTGTGCGAGGTTGTACGTTGATTTTATCAGCCAGTCATTAAGAAGAATGATTGAACACTGATTGCATATATATATATATATATATATATATATATATATATATATATATATATATACCACTAGTGGAGTCATAAAATGAAAAGCCGCCAAACTAAAAATGAGATAGGAGATCGTGTCACCTATTAAATAGTAAGAAATCATTGTGTGCTATATCAAATAACCTAGTTTTAAGTTTAATTCCACTCTGCTAGTGTTCAAATTCAATACTTACATTCATTATAATAGCGTATCAAAAATCTGCAAGGTTTTATTTTACTTTCGTTGTTTCTAGGAATGTCGTTCATTGAATATTCCATTCCATCTGTTAAATGCTTCTGACCAAAGTGGTAAATTTGAAGATAAATCAGCTGGATGTCAATTCAGATGGTCGGATGAAAATATCTTATCAAATCATACAGATCGGATAGAAAAAGATTTTTATTATGATGAATATGTTGCAAAAGCAGTTGTTGAATTAGTTAAATGTTGGTTGTTTGATCACAGACTTTTCACCACTTAGACCTCCTCGTTCATGGGTGAGAAAAGTTATTCAGGAATTGCCGATTTCCATCCCTTTTTGTGAGGTAAGAAGTAGTCTTTTCCTCGGTATTTGAGTTAGGCCTTTTTCGAGTTTGAGTGAATGCGCTTGTGCTCTAAAAGATATAGGTTTTTACAAAAAATTGAATGTGGGTAAGCATTGTGTCCTTGACATCCAAAATGTCTTTTCCAGTGCATTCTTTATGGAAACGATAAAGGAACATATTTTGTGTACTAAGCGCACAAATACTCAATAAATATCGTGTTTAGTGGAAGATAACCACAAAGCAGTACGACATTATTGCTCATCTAAAGTAGTACATAAAGCTCCTGTACTTCACGCATTCGCGATTAAATTCAGCACCTTTCCAGACAAACTTTGTTAACTTATGAATATCTTCCTCTTTTATACTCTTCCATTTTATTTTGTTTATTAAATTTGTCACACAATGAAACAGTTAATAATACTATGATTGAATCATTTATGGCTAGTAGTGGAACTCAGGATGCGCGTTTCGTTCTGTTTGGGACTCGTCAGCTGGATGTATCTACACTCAGTGAGGCTCGAACCCCGTACCAATCTCTTTAATTCGATCCAATATAATAACAGAAAATTACAAGTATCAACAAATAATAACTGCGTGATAAATTTAATAAACAGAATACAATGGAATCACAGTCTACCACAATGTCCAAGTTTGACTTCGGTATTACTTTTGGACTCTTTCAGTGAATTATGAACTCTGTCGTTATTACACAGTACGGTAGAATTTTGAGAGTTGCTTGTTATATTGATGTCAGTTGTGGTTGACAACATTATAATCAAATTCATTCAAAACATTTGATGTATCTCGCATTACGCCTCTTGGATTTCAAAGTGGGTGGCGAATAAAGTCCTTGCTCCCATTTTCTGAGGACCTTATGAAAAATCGGATTCTTTGTTCTGTTTATCACTTCACTTAACCATATCACTTGATGTGTGCTGTTACTGAAACACTTCTATGATTGCTTACTTGAACTAAATTACCATTCAGTGATTGCCATAAGAATGTACTGGAAATTTAACAATTCACACATAGTTTACGCTAACTTCAGAAAGCCGATATGTCTTACCTCGTATCAAAAATGTACGTAGCGACATTTCTCATCTCTCCGTTGAAAATGTATATTACTATAGATCCACTACAATTTAATTTTTACCAGGTAGATGCTCACAATATTGTTCCAGTTTGGTGTGCATCAGATAAACGAGAATATTCTGCTCGAACAATCAGATCAAAACTGTTTGGAAAATCACCAAAGTATCTAACAGAATTTCCACCTATTATTAAACATTCGTACACAACTGAAAATGCTCATCATTCACCTGTAAGTCTATTTAAAAGCTTGTCATATATCTTAAAATATTCTTCTATTATACTACTTTTGTCAATTCCCTGGTCCACTTAAAGAGCTTGCATATAATTATTTTTGATAAATTGTTTAGAAGTTTATCAGATGCCTATTTCAGATTATTGACTCGACTAGACTAACTTCGCAATGGCGCTAAAGGTGATCTAGATTGACGTATGCCACTCTGGCTTTCGATATGCAGTTGTGAATTTCACCACTCACATAACTACGCAGATACACGAACTTTTCGACTACTTCCAGTGGCTCACCAGGAAGGGTGAGCACAGGCTCGTGTTAATCCTGCAAAAGTATTTTCACTGCAATGGTGCAAAGAACAGACCATACTTACGAACATTAATTGCCAACTAATTAAGTGTGATTTGAGAAGTATATGTGTTATCGCTCAGTAAGACGATAGAGTCCGCATATTCAGGGTCGAATTCCTGTTTTCCAGGTCGTAGATCTACACTACCACTACGCACTTCCTTCAGAGCTATCTCAAGAATGTCATCAATGATAAAGTTAAAGAGGAATTGAGAAATCAGGTAACCCTGTCTAACTCACTGGTGGTTTGGAACAATAGAGATAGGTGGTTAATGTACCCTCACTCTACCTGAGGTGTTACTACGTAGTAGGCGCTGCGGATAAGAATGGATATAAGTAGTAGATGTTGAGAGGGTGGCAGGAATCATAGGGTAAAGAGTCTGCCCAGAGGAACGCAATAGACAATATGGGCGTATTTAAAGCAAATCGAGATAGAAGCAGAAAAGAAAATGAGGCACATTGTGCAAATGACTGTTTTAGTGGAAAGTGTACAATATTTCATCACTACTGTACAAGATGTCAATAATCAACATTCCTTCCTGCGTTTCAGTCTTGTCGTTTCCTACATTTATATAAAGCTTTCAAGATGTTAGTAGATTTATCGGACATTAGGTAGGATTATTAATAAGGCTGGGGTTAGAGTGGCATTTAAACCTACCACCTCACTTTGAAATAAGTTTTTTAGGTTAAAAGATCCTATGGATCCAATTAGGTAGGATAATTTAGTTTACTAAATCCCTTGCAACTATTGCGAGGTCAAATACATAGGTCAAAGTAGTCGACTAGGGTCAATTAGGCTATTCGAGCAAGAAAACCTAGCTAGGACAAAAGTGATAGTTCCTAGTAAGCATAAGAAATAAAGAAAAAAAGTTCGGTCACATCTATGCATGTAATTACACAAACAACCACACAATAGGATGGGACAAGGTGAAAAACCTTAAAACTAACATAGCGGCGTGGAGGGAGAGGTTGATAGCCAAATCTTTGTCAATCGAATTAACACCTAGTACGTGCAACAGGAATGATTCAGCGCCTGTTTCGGATACATGGAAGATTCTACTACTCATTTCACAAAGAAGGCGAAGAAAATAGGACTGTGTAAAGCATGCCTCACAGTTGTATAGTTATCTTGATATGACTATGGACAATAAATTGTGTCCGAAACATAATCCAGTAAAGGATACTGTTTCATTATGTGACACATCTAATAAATCGACTAAAATGGGGTCACATTCTATCACAGTGGTCAAGTGTTATCCTTATATTAAAGAAATCCAGAAAATCTTATTACCATTAAAGTAAATGAGTAAAGAACTGTTGGACTATATAGAGGAAGTTTGAAAGTCGTGTGATTACTCTGTTATGAATATGAGCAATGAATTCTGTTCAAAATGTCATTTTGTAAATAATACTGTATCACTATCTGCTACATCAAATAAGCAATTTTATATGGAATTATACTCTACCACATTGATCAAGTTTTACTTTTACATTAGGGTTAGGTTTTATTTAGGAGATTTAAATATGTTATGTATATAAAAGTATTCTGTCTAGTTGTGTTATTGATTAACAAGTAAACGTTGGTAAACTGTTCTATTACCTTCGATCAGAGGATAACTCAGTCTTAAATTTCTGATGTTCCTTCAAAATTGGTCACAACAGTATCTGTGTCCTAAAGCTTTATCCTAATGTTAAGCTTCTATCCTTCCTTTCTTATGTTGATGCGAGGTGTGACAACATTGACTGGCAACGATTCTGTCTTTTACACTAATATCTACTTCATAGTCGTTGTCTCTCAGTAAGTCGATAGTTACTCATGTAAAGTATTCACCTGATACTTTTGTTTTGAGTTTCGTTTTTAGTTATATACCCTAGGGTAGGAAATCAGAACAAACAGATCAAATGAATAAGTGGATATTCTACATTATTTTTGAACTTTTCAACCGTGTTAAAAACGTTTTGCAAGGGTATGAACAGATTCATGGCTTCAGGAACAAATATTCAAATTTGATGTAAATAGCGATTTTTTTTCAATCATCCACTTAAAATGTTGTAAACAATGGAGAAAAGGACAATTCCGGTGAGCTAATTTTGACCGAAGTCAAAACGACCTTATTTAAGTTTATACAAGTAAGGTGGTCAAGAAAGCTAGAGATAGTGGTGAAGGCTGTTTTATGACCTTCAAATAGATAGTAAAAAGATGAGTGATTATTAATCATGTTGTATTGAGAGGAAGGACGAATAAAATGTTGTCATAGTGAAGATAACGAAGCTGAGTAAGGACACTGATAAAGTATTTTTTAGGATAGCCTTTATCATGGACTGACATCAGTTAGATAACTGAGAGTGCTGGATAGCTATTTCATCCTAGTATAGGACGCCTCAGTAGTACACACCCACGACCCGGCTAGAGATCGATCTCAGGACTTTCGGGTTTCACGGTGGACGCGTTAACGATTCGGCCACTAAGCCAGAGGTCAATGGTTCACAGGTTTTTTACTTCTGTTATTTTGCCATACAGCGCGACTATCGTCCAAGATCTTCAGTTGGCATCTGCTTCGCTTCCGACTGACTAACCCCACAGGTCATTGTCTCTAACTGGAACTTCGGGATATCCACATGGAAGCATGACAATAGTAAGCACTACACAGTAATACATTTTGGGGTTAATGGGCATTCGTTTTCTTAAAGGTAGCGTTCATCACAGAATGAAGACCTTAAATGTTAGTTACGCTACACCATGAATTGACAGAAGTAGGAAACTTTGGACCATTGAGCATTAACCAAGTAGCCAAATGGTTGATATGTTCATCGTGAAACCTGAAGGTCGTGAGTTCGATCCTTAGCCGGGTCGTGGGTGTGTACTTCCGAGGAGTCCCATACTAGGACGAAACAGCTATCCAGTGCTCTCAGATTTTCAGTAGTTATCCAACTGATGTCAGTCCGTGATGAATACCTACCTTAAGACTAAAATCCCCATTGACCTCGCAATGCATTAATATTTTGTCAATATTTACGAAATCATTATTTGTGATAACCTTGACTACATAGCATGGTTTACTAATTACCAACTAAGACTTTTTCCATAATGAAGTTATTTCAGTCATCTTTGAACAGCAATGAGATACAGATACAGGTATGCAACACCAATTGTACACTTGTCGATGAATATAAACAGCTGTTTCTTTCTGAATGTGTTACGGTCGACAACTCGACTTCTTCTTTAGGTCAAATATGCTAATGCTGTCTATCCCACTAAACAGTCATGTAATTATTCCACGTTTCTGTTTGACTGGAAGGTAGCTGTGTTAACTGAGATCTTCTGCTGTCCAAGTCAGCTTCCTATAAGTCAATTTATCTCTCCTCTAACTAAGCAATCTGTCAAATTGATGGCTTGTTGTTCGTCCCTAATTCCGTAGTGAGCAGTATTCATTTTCTGTAGCAGGCATATCGTATTATATGTAACAATTATTATGGGCATATTTTTTCATAAAGGGGAAAAATTTCCAAACACATTTTTGACTAGATTTTCAACATGTAACAGTTACACACAAACTTGCGAGGGTCCTAAAGGACTAGCCATAGCAACGCTATAAGTTTGTCGGAAGTATGCACCTTAAAATAAGCCTCGCTATCGCATGGTTACAAATTTTTTACAGTTATTCAGTCCACATGGAAAATATCTGTCTCATTACTACTTAAAGGCGATTCACATATCTTCACTATGAAAGGTCACCATTAAGCGAAATCATTGTTACTTTTTAACTATCGACTCGTATATTATCTGAGGTTGTTTACGTCTAGTTCATCATTCTTGCTGGCTACTGAATAGGTATTTAGTGCTTCTGAAATTACTGCCACACATACAATAGGGGAAGCTATTATAATAATTTCATTTTCTGAAATGCTGCGTTAGAATCTAAATGCCATACATATTTGGTGACTGTAACAGTTCCAAGGTTTACTAGTAAATGCAGGTTTTCGGCTGGTATTTCAATTTCTGTCGTATTCATTTAGGTTCATAAGTGCCTGAATCAACAGTTTTAAAACTGTGCATTTCATTCCAGTTAGCTTGTACAAACGTTGTTCTCTTATTCCAGATGTGGAATAAAGTCATTTACTTAGGACATGTATAAATCCAATTTAACAATCCAAAGAGAAAACTGTCATTGTAACCGCTTGGGATACGTCTTATTCTTTCAAAAGTCCTCATGCGATCGGTAAAACGGTATCCTGCTTAATTCATATGGTTTAATTAACGTCTTGCGTTTTATCAAAAACTTATTTTTTTTAGATTGTCGACCGACATGCGTCTTTCGAAAACTCATATAACATGCTACCTTGATCATTTTCATCAGAGCAAGAAGAACAAAATCTGTAGAATAAGTTGAGCTCATACTTATTACGCGACTTCGCCTTAGTTGCAAGCAATCTGGAATAAGTAAAGAATTATGCATGGAACAAAACGAGAAACGTACTTTTCAGTTAGAGCACAGTAACTGTGTACACCGGGAAATGCAGATGTGACTGGGAAAACTCACTTAGCAAATATTAGCAATGCAAATAGTGGTGATAAAGTTTAATTTATTGGCAACTGAAAGGAAGATCCTAGAGTTGCAACAGCGGGTGTAGGAAAAAGTAAAACATGGTGAAATAATCACTGTCATAATAGTAATATTATCATAACAATGACAGACTTTCTACAGAAATAAATACATGAATGCTACATTACGCAAGACATGTAGCATAGGTGATACAAACAAAAAGGGATGAATAAGAAAACATGAAACAAGAGGTATGATAGTAAACAAAAGCACAGTTACCAAGAAAATGTTAGATTAATAATTGCCTCTCTTCGAACAAGTTAGGTTTAAACGTTTTATTGCTTCTGCAAAACGAAGTAAAATAGAGGATCGTCGTCGATTCATGATCTTAAAGGCTGTATGTACATCTAAGCTGTGTCTTAATTCAACTAAATGGTGTGCGATTAAACCTGTAAACGATTTCAAACCATTCAGTAGCCGGCTTTTCTGGACATGTTCAGAAAAACGAGCACATTCCAATCTCTCTATCCTTCAAATGTACTTGCTTTAACAAGTACATGTGAATTCAGGAATACAGTTGTCGTGACGTTGGATGGGTACTTGTCCATTTTAGACTGATACATAGGATGGTTGGCGCTGCGTAGAGGAACTATATTTGCTGCCGGATACGTTCTAACAAGAGAGGTCCGTAACCTTCTGATTATCTTTTCGTGAATTTGTCGCCTTTACATATTAACTGATAAACGCTGACTTTTTCGAAACTTCTAGCCACATTTTATTCTCTCTGAACTTACTCTTGAATACTTTTCATTAAAACCTTCCGGATAACGATTATCTAAGAGATGCGTCTCAAGGAGGACTAACTCGTCAATTAATTTGTCTTATGAGTAACAGGTTTCTAACTCTATTGAACAATTTATCCAACTAGTTTACGTTTGTAGTTCATTCAGAAAAAGCTGTTGCATATTAACAATGGATAGTGGCTAGCAGTGGAATTCAGGACACGCGCCTCGTCCTATCTTGGACTCGTCAGCTGAATGTATCTGCCTCCCAGTGAGTGATATTGCTCTCACTGGGACTCGAGCTCGGGAGCGATCGCTTCAAACGCCAGAGCGTTATCCACTAGACCACCGAGCCACGATAACCACTTCTTGTTCAAAAACACTAAAGCTGTTGTATTTTAGATATTGTCCAGTCCATGTTTCTTTGCGCTAGATGCCTTTCTAATTACATTTTAGTCTTTTTATTCTAAGTGTCACTCAGTGAAACAGTGTTATTTACTGGATATTGTTTGGGACATAATTTATTGCCCATATTCAAATTGAGTAACTCCACAACTTTGAGACAAAGTTTACATAGTTTTAATCTTCTTACCTTTGTGATAAGTGTAGTAGGATTTTCCACATATCTGGGATTGGTGCAAAATCATTTCTATTGCATGTATTGGGTATTGATTCAATAAACATTCGGTTATCAAACTGTCCCTCCACCCAACTAAGTTTTTAATACTGTCGCCCTATCCTATTGTATGTAATTGCGTGCAGAGCTATAGCCGAGCTTTTCTCTAAATCTCTTATGTTATTAAACTTTACTAATCTTGGTTTAGCTAAGTTTTTGAACTCTTGTTCTAACTGACCCTGAAGAAGCGTACTCCTGTGAGTGATAACTCGTAGTTCCGGTTTTTCATATTTCACTCTACCACATGCATAATAACTACTGTTTCCAAGCTATTGGTGAACATTGGTAGTTTATTTTAATTCTTTCATATTAAGTCTGGATATAAATTCAATCTCATGTCTTTAGAATAGTTCTCCAACTTTATCAGGGAGTGTACAATAACCTAATTTGAGCGTATCTTGTCTATGTTCTTTGCACTAGCTTGTTGACTGGGAATCAGTTTTATCTAACTACGTGGGTGACAGAAGTGTGAAACCAGTAGACTGGGCTATACCTGGAACTAAAGCGGGTTTTGAGGTGCTGTACGAATTTATTGGGAAACGTCTAAAGAAATTTGACCCTCACAGGAACAACCCCGCTAGTCCTGCTTTGAGCGGATTATCTCCTTGGTTGCACTTCGGTAAGTTATTTTTGATTGTTATACTGTAAATCACTTTCCTTACAACAGCTTATATTTCACTCTTACCAATGTATTAAAGTCTAAGGTTCCAATTATGGAAACTAACCAACTTAACTATCAAGTCTTTCAAAACCCGTGCTCGGATTGCTTCGGTTTGTGAAGTACCGATCACCACCAAACTTCATTTGTTTATCCTTGATTTGTTTCTTTGCTGCCAGTATATATATTCTTTCCTTGAAGGTTTGCGTCTACTATCCTACCTACTTCATGAGAACTCCTGACCCCTTCCTATAATTATGTACGGCGTCTGATGTACGCATTAGACTTCACATTTCAAAAGCTTCAGCTTCTGAATAGCGTATTTATATTTTTGTCCAACTGGTTGTTTTCTTCACCTCATGACTAGATCTTCGTTGATACGGTTACTGCGTAATCTGTGCTTTCGACTGTAAAAAGTACGTCAATAATAAAGTCATAAGATAGAATTCATTGGGTTCCACTTTTGGGTTATTGTATTAGTTCGCATAACCCCCGAAGTTTTAATTTGTTATTCGGAATCGTAAATAATTGATTTGTTATATACTTTCCTATGTTTTCGTCAGTACATGTGACATACCAGATGAATACTGACGGTATTTTTTTCTAGTCACTTACGTTCCAGTTAGCTTATTGTTTTTTTCATAGTTTTTCAGTAGAGAACTATGACCTACGTCTTTATCATTTCAGCTAGTTGAGACACATTCATTCCTTTTTAGTCATGCCACAGTTTGCACTACTAGAGTTTTCTATTCGTTTGTGATGAGTCGGGATGCTTACAGTAAATCAGTAAACAAGGATTATATTGTGCAGTTTTGAGAATTGACGTTTTTTAAAATCTTTTATAATAAAGTGTGCTTATAATGCGTATAATATCATTCCACGGTGTTAGTTTACCTAAGAACACAAGCAGTTCTGTTTGCATATATGTGTGTATTCTCTATTAGTATTCATTGAATTCCATGGGTTTGTGTATTCTTGACTTGTATCAACAACAAACTCTTCTTCATGATCATTTTCCTTATTATCTGCTATTTTACAAGTCATTGACTGTGCATTTTAATCGAATTTCAAATAAAATATATTAAGTTATTGGTCTGTCATCCAATGATTTTGTATATCACTTTCGCTTGTGTTATTGTATATCAAACTGGCAGCAGTTAATAATAACTTTCAATGTTTCCTTTGTATGCCTGATTGAAGAATGGTACCATAACATATGTTTTCTATCTGGCTGTGAGTACATCGATTTTTGAAACTAGCAAATATGTTTTCTAGTTTAATGAAAATCAATGCATTCTTGAAATAACGTGGTTAGGTCGAACTGTATTTTAACTGCATTAGACAACTGTGAATGATTATAGAATACTTATGAGGTCCTATTTACATATTATGACGTATGTAGGAATTTTAAGCGACTTGAATTCCAAATCAGCAATATAGACCACTTTCATATATGTAGACATTTCACATATCGAGTAGTTAGTGTCGTTAATTAAAACGTTTTTGTGTTGTCACGATACACAATCCTATGGCTCATTAGTTTAAAAAGTTGACTCTCAACCAGTAAGCCTCAAGTTCGAACGCCACTCCACCTACCGAGGTTTGGCCAACCAGGTAGTATCACTAGCGCTCACACAATAAATATGACTCATTACCTGTTGCACGAATGCGCACAAGGTTGTTGAGTGGGTTTCGTTCTCGTAATCATATGTTCAAACCCAAGTACCTTACGCATCGCATTCTTTTGCCTATACCTTTAAACAAAGAAAAGAGTAAATTACTTGTTGAGTGAACTACTTTTCTTCTACAATTACTACTTTAAAGATTAGGGAATTAAGTCATTTGACCATCTTTATCAACCAGTAGTACTCCTGGTGTTTTTTTTTGTGTGGAAACACTGCGTAGAAATGCAACTGTATCTTTATTTGTTGCTCGGTAACTTTCGTATAGTCCTCTGTTCCCTAGTGATTACACCACAGTTATTTTATCTTAGTCATGCTTGGTGTTTATAAATTACAGATTATATCGTCATGATACGAAACTGATATACACAAACAGTGATTCCAGGGTCAACGTTCGCATTAAGTGAGCACTACAGAAGATGTGACTTATGTTTATAGTATGTAAAATACTGCTACTATAATTATAAGTGATTCTATTAAACTTCGATTGTGAACTTCAGTGGCTAATGAATAATGTGTTGCATATATCCCATCCTTGATTATCTAACTGTATATCGTTAGTATAGACAGAATTGCATTAGAAGAAACCTTAGTGTGATTTGACTAAATTAGAACACTTATACGCAGAGTCGCTAACTAATAATGTCACTCTCATGGAGAAATTGTATCGTTGATGGATAATTTAGCACGTGATACACAACTGGAAAGTACTCATACTGGCACGAGAACACCCGAGTTTCATCATGTTTTTCGATAACAATGCACGTACTACTTCATATGCATATATTCCCTGTTACTTGATTTTGTCTGGAGTTTCTTTATAGTTCCTTACAGTTGTGTTGTTCAATTTTTAATTCATCATAAATCCTAACCGAAGAAAATCAGAAGACTAAGTCCTCAAGGATATTTCCTCTCTAAGTACCAACAATTAAAGAGCGAAATTAAATTAGATCTGCCTCAAAATGTATCTAAGTTCATCTGCAGTTGTGACGATACAAGTAGAACTAACAGAATGATGCAACACTGTCAGAAGGAACATGTTCCTCAGTAGCTGTCAAATCATATGAATAAACCAAACGTACCTTATATAAATAGAAATCTGGCATCGTTTATAATCAGGCATTCTATGATGACTGGTTACAAAATTAATATGAATGACTGTTTTTCATTTCATATTACAGGTAACAGAAACACGCCCAAATTTGTTTTCAGAAGATAATGGATGCAACCTTTCATCTACTTTGGACTACCTGACTTAGTATAATGATTGGTTATTTATATTTCCGTTTATTTCATATAACTACAAATACTGGTGGATAATGTATGGATGGCTAAAGCGTTCCCTGCGAGACCTAAAGGTCCTGAATTCGATCCCTGGTAGGGTCGTGGGTGCGTACTGTTGAGGAGTCCCATACTCGGACGAAACAGCTATCCAGTGCTCCAAGGTTTTCAATGTATCTTTAACTGATATCAGTCCACGATGAATACTACCGTGGAATCAATAAAATCCCCATAAGCCTCAAACAAAAACATTGATCATTGTAAACCATGTTATTTGTTATGCAGTTGTAGAGAAACTACGAAATGATGTTATCTCACAATATTTGTCTTGTTAATGCCTTTTTAAAAATTATATTCAAAGGTCCTCATTCAGTTGTAGGCATTTTGAAGTCTCATGTTGGGTAAATGTTAGTTGATTCCTCTTCTAGATCTGATAAATACTGTTACCTTTTTTCTCATTTTACTTTTTTGGAGTGTGTAAGTCGATTCACTATAATAGAGGGTTCTTTGTTTATATTGCATGCCGAATCATTAGTTTGCGTACATAGCAACAAAAAAGTACTCACGAATTCAGGAATTATGATTGAAAGCTGTCTCAAATAGTCTAACTGACAATATTTAAAACTGATTATCATGCTGTATCTAACTATTTTTATCCCGTAGGCCAACTAGCCCCTCAACGTGCTATTCTCGAGGTTGTTGCTGTTCAGAAGCAATATGGGCGATCGGCTGATATTTTTGTTGAAGAATGCTTTAACAGAAGAGAATTAGCTGATAATTTTTGTTTCTATACACCTATGTATGATTCTATTGAAGGTATGTCATTCTCATCAAAATTTCCTTGTCAACTGAATAAAATGTATACCAGTACAAATAGTTTCTGCCAATAATATGTAAGGTATAACAAATTAAGTGGTAACAAAGGATACAAATGAATAAAACTATTCAGTGCAGTTTGATCATCACAATAAAACGTAATTCTAGCATGTATTACGAATAAATTACATCCATTCATGCACCTAGCTGACATTGTAAGTTACACGTTAATAAAGCACCAAGGAATGACTCCGATGCATGTTAGTGAATGAGTTCAAATTAGTTTTTCAGAAACTACTTTTATGTATTTTCTTCGTTTTTACTTTCATCTTGTTTGATTGTACCCAAGTAGAACTTACGTTTTATAAATTATTTCACGAACCCCTCCACATTTTATGATTGCATTTTATGCAGACAGAAATCGTCACCGGTCTAAATCAACTTACGCTAAATAGTTATAGTAATTGGCAAATAATTTAAATCAGCAATCACTTATACAGGCAGCGTGATTCGTTGCCTACTGCAAAAACCTGCAAGAGCTAATTATACTCCCTGGTTATCCAAATCTCAGTTGATATAGCGGGGTTTGAACTCGTGTTACATTCCTTGAAAGTCGGGTGGCTAGCCCAGTGAGTCATATCCCCACTAAATAGTTTATATTATGAAATATGTCATAAGTTTTGTTGACACAAAACAGGATTGTGATTAATTATATCAATATTGTGCATACTTCTACATAATTTACTAAATATTTTATCATCTGAACGAGAAAAGTCTTCATTTTCCTAACATTCTAAATAAAGGTTATCATATAAAACAGTATACCCAGATGTGTTTATTCATATGATAAATATATTGTATTATTTCTTATCACTTAATCTTCCTTCCGGACAGGTGCATATGACTGGGCACGTGAGTCATTAATGAAACATGCAACTGATAAAAGGGATCCAGCATATACGAAAGTTCAACTGGAGTCTGCTCAAACGGCTGATGATCTTTGGAATGCAGCTCAACGTCAACTGGTGCGTAAAGGTAAAATGCATGGGTTTCTACGCCAATACTGGGCGAAGAAAATACTTGAGTGGTGTGCTGAAGGTCCAGAGTCAGCCATACGAATAGCAGCATACTTGAATGACCGTTATAGTTTGGATGGGACAGACCCCAATGGATACGTTGGTTAGTCTAATATTAGTATGCCAGCTAAAAACATTTTGCATAAATTGCAGGTTTATGAACCATAGCCCACCATGAATATATTATAAGATATACCCGATGAATAGGTATTCTTTTAGCAGTGTAATATCGTACAATCCAGTTAAGGTTGAGCATTTGCACTGCCAGACCTATTCCAAGATATACACCTAAACAGTACTTATTAGAACATGTGTACTGAAAATAGTTTTATAAGCTAAAACAATATATTTTACTTTTTCTACATAGGTATCATGTGGGCAATATGCGGAATTCATGATCAGGGTTGGTGTGAACGACCCATTTTTGGCAAAGTACGATATATGAATTATCAAGGATGTAAACGCAAATTCTCGATCCCTACTTTCGTATCACGATATTCTGAAAACTAAATTGCGCTACTAAATATTTTTTAGTTTTACTTCTCCAACCAGAAGCATTTAACTTATTGTACTAATTTCGCATTTGTGCTATTTTACAAAATTTTACTTTCTTATTAAATTATTCTGATATGTTCTTGGCTATTTATCTAAACTTCCTAAAGCAGACTAATACTTCTAATTAATTCCTAAACAACTATCACTGTTTTATATTTTGATATTGAATCACTATTTCAACGCTAAAAAGGGTTTGCTTCACATTTTTAAATTGTACTTAACAGTATAACAGCACTAAAGTAAAATCAGAGCCATTCGGAGATCGTTACTATTTTGCTGTGACTCAGAAAACTTGTGCTCTACAAGGAAGAATTTTGTTTCACAGAGCCTGGAGAAAAACATATTTTCGATCATTTCGTCCTCTACTTTATGCCACCCTACACCTACACATTTTGATCTGCAATATTGTAACAATTCCAGTAACCTTTTGAATAAGAATGGGGAGAAATGTGTCATGACATTGGGGCATGATGTGGAAAAGCAGAAGTTTCTTGGAAGATTCCAAACAATCATATTTAGATGTACCTCGCTGGCTTAAGAACTCGAATTTTGAACAGTTAGTTCCGGCGTCGAACGCTTTTCATTGCCGGTTGGTAGGGTTAACTGTCACATAACAGGTGCGGCGTATAACCCACCTAGTATGCTGAGTTGTACTAAATAATAACAGAAGCTAAGGGAAATTGGGTTTGAGTCTAGTGTTGAGTAAAATTCGAAATTCTGAAATGAAGTTTAACCAAGAGAAACATTGATACACAATATAGATAGTATTAAGTCTTTAATAAAACGTTGAAGGGAAGAGGCAATTTTCAAAACTAATAATCCAACGTATGGTGTAAACAGTGGCTTTATACCTTAGCCATGTTTTTACATTTGTACGGTGCAAAGAAAATAGGAATCTTCCCTGAAAATCCTTTTCAAGATGTTAGCAGTTAACTACTTTGGACTCCAGACCCTTCAAATGTATTCACAAAAATACCTGAGGGTAATCACGCACTGTTGGACCCATCTGAAGCACAATCATCGAACATCTCATCGATACTGATTGCACTATCACACGAAGTTAATTACAAGGTAGATAGAAGTACAGAAAGTGATACGTTTTCATATTGCAGAAAGGGACTTCTTTTATGCGCAAATTCAAGTGTGTACAAAAACACTTGCTGTGTAGTTTTAAACTAGGATAAAACAGTTGTCCAGTGATCTCAAGCTTCAATGTTTCTTCAGTCAATGTAAATCGGTGATGAAGACTACTTTGAAACCAGTCAATTCCTACAAACCACCAACTGAATTCTGTAAAAGTTTATTCAATCTCTTCTTACACCATGGTTGGCTTTAAAAATCACTTTCCCTTCACCATTTTATTACTTATAGTCTGCTAGCCTCCATTCTGTCTCAATGGTTCCCCTTCACTTTGGAAATTAATTAGGCATATTACTTAGTATCGTAAGGCGTGTGTGATTTTCTGTAGACGTAGCCCATCGAGGTATCTAAGGAATTTTACTTAAATGTTTAAAGATATTTGTCTTCCGGGATACATGCAAGCCCATTGCTATTATTCACTGGCAGCCTCACAAAATCATGTTTTTACATTCAATTAATATCATGAGAAATTTCTTACTTAGTCATGTAAAAGCATACTCAGAAGGTTTCAAAACATAGCAGCAAGGAATCTTGAGGTCTTACTTACAATTGGTCAATGCTGGTGTATAACTACCTAAGTAGTTACAAACTTAATTTGTCTGTACCAGCAGGGTGGTGAACTTACATAAAACAGAATCTCATGATCAAAACACGAATATGGACAGAAAAAACGTTGGAAATACTTGAGTGAAATGTCTTCGTTGGTCGACAACGTTGCTCATTATAGCGGTGTGATATTTCTCTACTGATTTCTTGAAATGCCAGCATAATAATACATAGGTTCAAAATAAGTTGAACCTCAGGTGTCTTTCCTAATGATAATCTACGAAGATGAAAAATATCCTTCTGTTTACTGCGAATGAATATAAGATCTGTCAACATTGCGCGGTCAGATAAATTGATACAATATGAAACAGCAGATGTACAACTTGATAAATAATGGGGAGATGCACCTCGCCGAATCGAAATACAAATTACTGTTGGTCTTTAAAGTGGTAGATTTTTTAGACTGGGCTACATGCATTTTATATCTGTATATCTCAGTAAAGCAATTAGGAAGTTCTACACCAATACATTACAGACTTCCTATAAACTCCCTTTAATGCTTTTGAACCAAATAAGAATAGACAAGTGGGTAGGACAACATGCTATAACCATTTCTCATGCTTTTTCGTCAATATACAGCTTCAAATTTTCGAATTACAGAGGTTGACATGCTTGTGCTGAAAGGATATCAAATTCTGACTTTGGGCTTTTTGAATTCCTAGGCATATGTAGCTGAAGTAGAATCTAAAAGGAGAGTGAAAAAAATTTATATCTCGTCTTCGTAGACGAAATCTCCACTGTTTTATTGACCACGGAGAATATTCAGAAATGCGATGTTGAACTTCTGTAGTTGTGTCTCACAGTAACACACTTTGGGGTTGCCATACACACAAAGGAGTAAGGCAAGTGTATGGTACTGAAATGATATATATTTAAAGGGCTGAATGGTTTTTTTTACAGAAAATCTCGCCCAGAACATACTACTTTAAGTAAAGTGTTGTTCAGTTTAATTCAGAACAAAATGCATGAAATAAGTAGATTTTTGACTAACAATCATGAATATAAATTTGTACAGAAGTTACAAGCAACCTTAATTATTAGTTAGTGGACTTTAGAGGATTCCAACTATTCACCCAGAAGTGAAAAGATTAAGATTCTGGACGGGAATTTACGATAATGATAAAGAGGCCTCTCCTATAAACAGAAGGCATTCGGGTTCAACAGTTCGAAATTCATCTTTTTAACCTGAGAAACACAAGTCGCTAGAACAACGTATTTATTCGACCAAAGGTGTGACTGAAAGTAAAACCAACCTGCTGGAAAAGTGCGCTTTTGTTGTTTATTGAACCTTCAAAAGCGAATACCTTCGTAGCATGGACCGTGTGTCATGGTCTCACCATGTTAGTAATGTAGAAGTCACGTGATGTTTAGGGAGGGGAAGACAGTCAGTTGATGCGGTTGGAAACGTTTGTCAATCCGGGTAGCTGGGACATGTGTTACGCATCCCTAGTCACCATTTGGCCCGTGCGACGTTAGCTGAATTATGTTTAGGCTGGAAAGGTGCTCGAGGTGGTCAGACTAAAACATGGCATCAGTGCAAGCAGTCGTTGACTGTTGGTCCGAGCCGTGTAGGGAAGTGTAGACTTCCCGGTTGGGGTTCATGTGACGACAGAAACTTGGGGTTGGGAACTCTAGGCGACATAGCTCAAACTGATCTTAATGGAGCAGTTGTAGCCCCATTACCTTAATCCTGACCGTCATAACGAATTTAGTATTTCTTTTATTTCTCTTTTAATGCTTTTGACTGATATTTCTCTATCTCTCATCTTATTGCTTTGTTACTTGATGTGCTGATATGAGGTGTGACAACTTAGAACGTTGTGCTGTAATATCTGATCCTACGTTGATATTGCCGATGATGATTAAACCAACCAGTAAATTTACTGCCGCGGATTTCTCACGCAGCGAAAACGTTAGGTTTCGATAAACTGATTCGCTTATATCACTTCTAGATGTACTAAAGCTTGATGAAGACATGCATCTCCAGTAGTTTCGGTACCAATGACATTCCGGATACGAAAATCAGACAGAATGAAGAGCGAAGTGCCAGATACTAGCTTCAGGTGGACGACTCTTCGCAGTGAGAAAGTCAAAAAAAATGTGATGATTTGAATTTCCAACAAATAAACTTGTTTTATTTGTGCGGAAAAGGAAGCAGAAAACCTTTGGCGGTGTGCGAGCTATTCAGCCTGAGAATAACCGCCTGCAGGACTAGATTAAGAACACTGATTGGTCAATATGGAGTAACCAATTTTATGTTCTCTAGTCCTAAAAAACGACCGAATTCAATCGATCATTTATGTAATGTGGTCACCAGGCTAGGAGACCCATAATTACAATGCGCTTTGATTGATGTAATGTCTCTCAGCCGTCAAACCAGTGTCACATTTACAAAAGATAAGTATTTCTATGACAAACTGCTACTAAAACATGCAACAACCTTCCTAACAAAAAATATATTCCAACTTTATTATCTTTGTTACGGAATGATGATGTACCAGTGGTCTGAAGCTCGTGTTGGAAAATCCGGATATTACAGAAAACAGCTAGTTGGAACGAACATCCCTATATATATATATATATATATATATATATATATATATATATATATATATATATATATATATATATATTTCAATTTTAAGATCAGAATTTGAAAACAAATTCGACCAACCATTTATTATTAGTGCTATTATAAAGTCCCCAAATATAACTAATTAGGTATTACATAGGATTGTGTTTGTATTTTAAGCACTAAACGCTCAAGCAGTGCACCTGTATAGCAAGGTTTTTGCACTTGGTTATCGAATTGAGTTCTCATACAATCCAGTACATGAAAGTCGTTTCTGAATCGGTTTGCTTATTAGCATGATACACAGTCATTATCGATGTGAAAGGCATCTGACAAAAAGTTAAAAAGTTAGCCATCTTTATTCATTCTTTAAATGTGAACCGTAACGTGAAACAATGCTTTTAATTTCTATAACGCCTCACTTGAACCTCAAACGTTCATGTATGATGAAACTAATTTGAGGAAATAAGATCTTACGTGACACTTCATTTAATCTGAAAGGTTACACTACTACCCCCTGCGTACTACCGTTGCTTCCTGCCTGACACCCCTTGAATTTAACGCTCGAAATGGTGTAACCAGTGGAGATCAGAAGTGATTAAACACATTGCATACAGTTTCATAGTCATTCAGCAGAACTATCTCAGGTATTTCTAGCAAGAATGAAGTAAGACGACAAATGTGCTGATGACTGCTGTTCAAGGTGATTCTAGGGAATAGATACTGGTTACTTTACGTATATGCTGGTTTATCACTATTCCTGAGGCTGCGGAACATCATGTAATTCAGAATATTTAAAAAGGGGTTGACTATCGTGTTTCCTCGCACTAACATAACACCTAAATTACGATTTTTAGGAACAAACAGCCTGACACTTGAAACACTTAGTACTAATAGTAAGTCTTTCTAGATAGATGGAATACGCTTTTTCCAGTTCTGGAGTGGTATAGCCTTCAGTGAATAGCATAAGATGATTTCAAAAATCTCAAACATTTGGTCACAAACGTAAATTATTGAAAGGAAAATTTATTCAGGATAAGCCTAAAAAATATCAGCATATGCACAGATTTACACAATGTAAAATACATAACAACTGTCATCATGACAAAAGTTATAAAACTATTCGATTATATGTCGTTTTAAATGCTTCGCAATCCCAAACATGCGAAAACGCTTTTGATTGAATAACCTTTGCCAGTCATCATTGCAAACAACATACTGCTTATTATTTGGATCCTAGTCAAGTAGCAAATAAAAATGTGAATCTTACGAATAAATTCTGTTCCTTAGCGATTGCCCAGAACCTCTTCACCAAATCGGAACGAGTAAGCTCTTTCTCACCAATATACTCAGCCAGTTCATCAGATAAAGTCAGGGGACGTGTAAAACCTGTTGCTTTACCACTGGTTTGCTTTTGAGATCTTGGTTTGGTATCTGGAAACATGAATGACAGATAATGTTTCCTTACTGGGAATGCTTCTTCGTCTCATACCATTAGCCTCTGCATGCAACGTTCGAGCATAGTCCTCGTCATCTGATGACTTTTTTTTCCTCTTCCTTTTTGGTTCAACAGGTTCGCTTTGGGAACTTGCATCGGAGTCCGTTGATTCGTCCACCTCCTAACCATTTATATGAGTGAGCATTTACCACTATTACTCACAGGACTGCTACTACGTTTGGAACCGTTTTTGCTTTGGGTCTTTAAAGACTGTAGTTTTTCCAATGTAGACATTATCATAGCTTCTAACTTCGACTTTTCAGCAGACAAATCAATGTTGAAATGAGCTTCAAGCGCAGACCTAACCTTTTTCGATGTTACCTGAGTCAGATCAGCTCCATGTAATATCTCTTATTTTAAATGATAATGAAATAATAGCAAATACTCACTCTCTATCCTGGTCAATAGTTGATTATCAGATGGGTAAGCCATGAGTTTCCGTTAACTGTTCCACGAACTTCGAATTATACGCTGCGCTCAACGTCTAATATAGTCACTTCTGTGTAATGCAGATCAAGCAGTTTCTCTGCACTTACTTATGAACGTTGTGATCCATTGTCACCATTCAGGAAACTTGGTAAGATGACTAGGCTCAGTGGTCTGGTTTAACTCTGCACAAAAGGAAGGAGGTTGAAATTGGAACTTCGTTTCCAGGATGACATAACCAGCAATGTTATGCACCACGTCACAACCACAGGTCCACCTGTGGCATCCAAAGCGCACTGTCTGGCCCCCGATAGGCTCAAAACGGTGAAAAGCGAATTCGACCACATGCTCGAACTGGGCATTATCAGACCGTCAAACAGTCCCTGGGCACCACCATTGCACATGGTTCCCAAAAGGAAAGCAATGACTGTCGTCCAACCGGTGACTACCGAAGGCCTAACGCCAAAACAACTCCGGACTGCTACCCGATACCTCACGTTTACGATTTGACTGCAACCTTATGCGGAATGAACATTTTCTCCAAAATCGATCTGGTCAAAGCGTACAACCAGATACCTATGGCAGCAGAAGATATCGCAAAAACAGCCATTATTACTCCTTCTGGTTTGTTTGAACCCCTGCGCATGCCATTTGGTCTTCGGAATGCAGCACAAACATTCCAGTGCTCTATGGATGATATCTTCCGTGGTTTAAATTTTGTCCTCGTCTACATCGATGACTGTCTAATTGCGAGTCCAGATAAGGAAACTCACCTCAAACATTTGGACCTCGCATTCGAAAGACTACAAAAACATGGCATCACAGTCAACTTACAGAAGTGTGAAATAGGAGTTGAATCACTCAGCTTCCTTGGGCATACCATTGACAACAAAGGTATACGCCCATTGAGAGATAAAGTGGCGGCTATCACAAACTATCCAGAGCCGACCACTGTGAAACATCTCCGCACTTTCAATGGCCTGGTAAGTTATTACCGAAGGTTTATTCCCAACTGTGCCTCTGTCATGAGACCACTAACAGATCTACTTCGAGGAACTGCGAAGTTCGTGTCTCTGGACAACGCGGCTAGACTTGCTCTTTCTAAAGTCAAGGAAGCCATTTCGAACGCAACCATGCTTATGCATCATGACCCCAATGCTCCTTTGAGTATTGCTGTTGATGCATCTGATTCAGCAATTGGAGCAGTTTTGCAACAGTTGACTGACAACCAGTGGCAACCGTTAGCCTTTTTCTCGAGGCGGCTGCAAGACGCGGAAACAAGATACAGTACATTTGGTAGGGAACTCCTAGCTATGTACTGTTCTGTACGCCATTTTCGACATTCTGTGGAAGGTCGTGATTTCATTATTTTCACAGACCACAAACCGTTAACTCTTCCCTCAGCTCGGCGTCTGACAAATACTCCCCGCGTGAGTCGCGACAGCTGGATTACATTTCCCAGTTCACGTCAGACATCCGCCACATTTCTGGAGCAAATAACTCCGTTGCCGATGCACTATCACGAATAGCTTCTATAAATCATATTGAGGGCGTTGATCTCGTTGAAAGAGCTCGGCGTCAGGAGGAAGACCTCGAGCTTCACCATGAGTTGTCGTCCACAACTCTCAAGCTGCGACTTTGTCCAGTTGGATCAGACAAGGATTCAATTTTGTGCGATGTCTCTGCTAGTCAACCACGCCCAATAGTTCCGAGGAGTTGTCGACGCAACGTCTTCAATACGTTGCACAAACTGTCCCATCCAGGTGTACGAGCCACCATTAGGCTTGCTGCGCAACGTTTCTGCTGGTCTGGGATGAAGAAAGACGTTGAGGAGTGGGCTCAGTCGCGTTTAGCTTGTCAGAAGTGCAAAGTCACGAGACACACGAAAAGCCTCTTAGGCTCTTTTTAAGTCCCAGACATGCGCTTCGACCACGTCCATATAGATATTGTGGGACCTCTACCAGAATCTAATGGATGTACCTGCCTTTTCACTTGCGTGGATAATTTCACACGATGGCCAGAAGCAGGATCTATTAAGGATAATACTGCTGAAACAGTTGCTTGTGTTTTCGTGGAAAGATGGATCGCGAACTTCGGATGCCCATCTTAGGTCACAACCAACCGTGGGCGCCAATTTGAGTGCAGATTATTTCACGCTCTAACGGCACTTTTAGATTGCGCCCGGTTCCGAACGACAGCCTACCACCCACGAGCAAATGGCATGGCAGAGCGTTTCCATCGACAGCTGAAAGCTTCCCTTTCAGCTGCAAACATACCTCAGTGGACCGAGGCTCTTCCTCTAGTCCTACTAGGTATCTGTAACGTCTTGAAAGTTGATGCTGGATGCGCCCCTGCAGAACTCGTCTATGGAACCACTCTTCGTCTACCAGGTGAGTTTGTTTCTCCTTCAACTCTCAAAGGTGTTTCCGACAGGGCATCTTACATGACTGGGCTCAAAAGTGCAGCGCGTTCAGTTAGGTCTTCCCAAGTTAGACCTCAAACAACTGATATCTTCACTCACTCTAATTTGCAAAAGACATCTCACGTGTTTATTCGCCACGATGCCATTCGTCGACCACTTGAACCACCCTACGACGGGCAGTTCAGAGTGGTCAAACGACACGAGAAGTCCTATATAATTGAGCGAGACGGATGTGAAGATACAGTCAGTATCGACCGTTTGAAACCAGCTTATTTCGAAGGCGACCCCAATATAAGTGACTTTTCAGCTCGCTACAGCCGACCGATGGGTAGCTTAATTATCGAAATTCTTGACGATGTGTCTGGTAGCGCACAGTTACAACAACCATCACAGCAACAGAAAACTCGATCACGTCGAACCGTCAGGTTCCGGAAGTATTTGAAATCGTTTTCAACTTAGTGGTGTGAAATAAGGTGTGCCAGCCATATTTTTTTCAATTCAATACTTTGTTCCCAGGCACTATTTTTCTCATTTACCAGCAATGCGAAACCCCTCGTACATTTTTCCTTTTTATGTCAATTTTTTATTACCATGTAATGAAACATTCTTTAAAAAACGGTGAAAATAAGCGTTAACTTTATTTCGACGTATTCATGTATAAATAATTCCCATTTTTACTAGGCGTTTTCGTGGTATTAAAGACTTTCATTTATATTCAAGGTGCAACGAGCACTGGACGGAACTTCAAAGAAAACTGAGGACTGCGATCGACGTCCAATTCGATTTATTGTATTGTATTGTATAAGTTCAGACAACCAGGGGCCACTTCACGCAGCGAGCTCATCGGAAGAGTTTTACCAGTGGGGAAACCACTGGGTTTTTACTTCCAGCTGGTATCGTCCATGGGTCATCACGAACCCGCTGGGGGCGGAGTGATCTGTAGCGTCACACACTTCCCCAAAATCAATTGCCTGGGGTTCGACGACATTCAACATTGATGCTGACCTTTTTAGTTTAACTGGACTCGCTAAGCTGAAGGCACCCGGTCAAGCATCCTCACCATTTGGCATGCTGTCGTGTTACGTTGCACTGCTCGTAGTCGACCCTCTAGCCAGTCAGTCGGAACGCGTCAGTATTTTGGCACAACCATCCGAATATACTATTCCATCCGACTACGCTATCGTGTTCTTCCTTGGTCTCGTATTCGTGGGTATATAACAAGTTCGAATAATTAGTGATTGGTCTTTGCGTCTGTCAAGTTCGCATCAGGACAAATCCTAAAACGTGTAATATCTGACCACTAAAGTGAGTAATTCAAAAAAAGTAGTTGATCTGTTACATTGTATTCCCACACAAATTTAGACAACAAAATGATGGATCAACTGTCCAATTTCTCTCAAAAAGAGTTTCCAGCAATAATAACAGCAGGCTACCTGGTTTGTATTATTTCTTGCCTAAGACAAATTAGTGGGGATCCGTTTTATAATCAGCTGTGTTATCCAGTAGTATTCTAGCCTGAATAATTTCGGCAAAACGCTGGTTTTCGCCAGCTAAATCTGATGACTGGTAGAGAATCTTATCTGCAGAGAGAAGTTCTCTGGTGAAGAACTGGCTATTGGAATACAGCATGATGAGTGGCTGAATGACTGGCAGAATCAATGTAGAGCCTTGCAAGCATATGCATCGGATTAGTTCGACACAGTTCACAGTGGTACATAAGGAAAAGATTGACTGAGAGAATGAAATCAAGGTGAGCAAAGTTGTGTGAAAAAAGAAGCAGTTTGAAGATAAGCGGAGGTGTGAATATTCAAGTTTTAGAAGTCACCAAAGAGTGAATACATGTGCACCACTGTGACCAATTTTCAGAGGTGTCACTAAGACTTCTCAGCCACTGATTCCAACTATTTCAGGGACACCAGCCCGGTAGTTTATATCTCACCACACGACTCAAGCCAACAGTGGGAAACATTATCAACTGTTGTCACTATTCGTCTGGCCACCCGAACCTTCTTTTAAGCTAACCCAACCTCATTAGCATTTCACGTCGAAGCAGGTGGTGACTCGGCTCGCGCAGCAAATGTTCGGGATATTCCAGTCTACTGAGCTTCACGACCTCATCAGTCGGCTTCTTTGTCTTGTCTAGTACCCTTCGCCTGACCTCAGCATTGCTGACACGGCGATTCCGCCATGCGTGAGCAACGCTCTGAGAGCACTTGTGATTAAAACCTAACGATGACCTCCTGTCTCCGACTTTCATGGCCATGTCTGCAGCCGTGCAACAGGACAAAACGGACTGCAGCGCAGTATACTCGTGAATTGATAGGCAATCGGCTATCTTGCCGGCACCACCATGAGAGAGGTCAACTCATGCAAACAAAGGCCCGTAATATATTTTTATTAAGACTCTAAAAAGCTGCGTGTAGTACTCGAATCGACGGCGTGAGCCCTCTGATGTGCTATCCCGATGGGGTCCTTACTTGCTAACCGTAACTTTACAGGTTAGGTTAGTTCGTTTCCTTGACTTGTCCTGTGGATGACTTTGTGGGCCATGATAAGGTCATCCCTCTTTCCCGATAGCCAGAGGTGAATAGACATACTTGTTTCACTCATTCAGAACATGCTTCCCTTTTTGGTCCC